GGACACAGTTGTTGCCTTGCAAGCCTTAGCAAAATACGCAGCAAGGACGTTCAGTCCATCAGGCCAGGTGCTTGTAAGGGTGAAGTCCCAGAGGGGCTTCGGGAAGGCTTTCCAAGTCAACCGCCAGAAGCGGCTGCTGGTGCAGCAGGCAGCGCTGACAGAGGTCCCAGGGCAGTTCCTGGTGCAGGTCCACGGCAGCAGCTGCATCTTCGCTCAGGTGAGGTGGTGGGACAAGCATGGGAAAGAAGTGGAGGACTCTGCCTCTTCTCCCAGCATGAGATCATGCCTGGCCTGTCTTTTCCCCTCCTGGCCCTCGCCCTGCAGACAGTGCTGAGGTACCACGAGCCTCCCCCACGGGCTGCTGTAACCTTCACTCTGCGTGTCACCACAGAGCTGACCAACTGTAGCCAGGCCAATGCGCGTGTCCTCACCGTCCACATCCTTGCCAGGTGACCCCGAGGGTTGTTTCCTCCTCCAGTAAGACCTGCTGTGCTTGGGGACAGCAGCCGGGAATGTCTCAGAGCTGCGATGGAGGGACCTGGCACTTGGGGTGGACAGGATAGAGGGTGAATTTCATAGGTGGAAGGGGTGGGGAAGGAAGGTGCTGACTACCTCCTGCGAGAGGAGCAGTGGCTGCTGCGTCCCCAGTCCCTGATGGGCTGCCTGGCTCAGGGTCCTGCACACAGGGCATGGTGGTGGAGTGAAGGGGGGCTGGGAGGACACTATTCTCACAGAGTCAGACCCTCTGACGGTTTCTTCTTCTACAGCTACATCGGGAGCAGAGTCACATCCAACATGGTGATGGTGGAGGTCTCCCTGCTGTCTGGATTTGCCCTGGCTCCCAGATCCAGGATGTTGGTAAGGACTTTGGAATTAAAAACAAAAAAAAGCGGCTGTGGTGAATGGGTGCCACCTGCTTGCTCCTGTTGGGAACTGTTCATTTCAGGCCGTGAGGTAACTAAATTAGCAGGGGCCGTTTGGTGTTGTAATTGAACAAAACCCTCTCATTTCTATAAAGAGCCCACAAAGGCTGGCTATGGGAGATCAGAGGTGGTTCAGCTTCTCCCACCGACACTATTCTGCCTTGGGCCAGGAACAAAATGTGCTGCTGGGTGTGCTAAACACCAGGATTTGTTTGCCAGAAATTCTGAGACAAGATTTATAAGAGAGACTTAGTTCTAGCCAAAAAGATTATATTTTTCCAATTGAGTCATAAAACTGAAAGACATATTTGCACAGCCCCCAGGCAGGTTTTTAAAAGCAGTCTAGCAGTCAGTGAGATAACAAGAATCTTTACTGGTGTCTGCGTGTTTGCTGACCAATGCATCAGTCCTACACACACAGCCTTTTGTCCTCAGAGTGGGAGATTTCTCTAACTGATCAGGGACAGCATAGTTCATCCCCAAGACGCTCACAAGGGATGTCCAGGGGGGACTACCAAAGATATAACCACTAAAACCCTTATGTGTGAGAAAGACGCAGTTCCACGCAGAGTCCAACTCCACACCATACCTTCAATACGACAGTGGGTCCTTCAGGTCGGGAAGCCCTAAGGGAAGTGCTAATGAATTTCCTTGTGTTATTGTTTCCTATCCTAGTTGGAGCGCAGAACTATCATTAAGAAAATAGAAGTGAAAGCTGATGTGGTCTACATTTATCTGGAGAAGGTAAGTGGAAACAAAAGCATTTGGTTTGGCATAGCAAGAGCAAGAGGCCAGAGGACAACGAACTGTGTGAGCAGCCCAGGGCTGGGCTAGGCATGGGGAAAGAGCACTGGTAGAACTGTGGGCAGAGGAAGCTTCCCCAATTTCATTGTTATTGGTTTAACTTTTGCTATTCCTCACACATACTCCATTTCTAAAATCTGGAATCTCTAATGGATTAGAGAGATTTAGTACAGGAAAACATTCAAGCTAGGGAAGATGAAGATGCAATGACTTCTTTCTCCCCTTCCTTGCTAATTTCTTTCCACCTCCACAAGCTCAATGATGAATCTCAGACTTTCACTCTGCAACTGGAACAAGTAATTCAGATGAAGAACCTGAAACCAGCCAGCATCAAAGTCTACGATTACTACCAGCCAGGTGAGTTGCAGAGTCCCTCCTATTGTGGGGTTGGGAGCTGGGTTGCTAGTTCTCTGACTGGAAAAGACGTTGTGCACTCTTCTCTGTGTGCATGCATGTGTATAATCGACTTCTTCATTTCCTTTTGCAGAGGAGCGAGCCTTGGCTGACTACAGTGCTGTCTGTAGTTGAGGTAGGCAGCAAGTCCCTGCATGGCACAAGCAGTGGCATCAGGAAATGATGAGTCTTGGGTGGGAAAAAAGGAATGTAAGCAATCAAAGACGGAAAGGAGGATGGTAATCAGTGGGGAGCATATATCCAGCTAGAAAGATGAACTGGCAGTTGCCTGTTGCTAGGTGTATAGAGCTAAGATTGGGGCTCTTTTGCAGCCAGGTAGGCAGCTGGAAGGGTCTGATGGAAGGTGGAGACAGGGACAGCGTCTCTCAAAATGAGAGTGAGGAAGGAAGGGCTGAGCATCATGTGGAGTGAGAATGCAGAGCTATAGCAGCCGGTGCTAACAAGGGCCCTCAGACCTGGACAGTGATCCATTCTCTCCACCTCCTGCTATATTCATTGCAGGGTAGGAAGGGGGATTCAGGGAGCCAAAGGAGCAAGCTGAATCTGGGAAGGTGTAATGTTTTGTCTTGTGGGGTGACATACCCAACTGCCAGGAGGGGGGTGGCCTGAAGCCAGGACAGGTCTGGAGAAGTCCTTTCTGGAAGGATAAGACAGAATCTTGACATGGTACATGCTGCATCCTGACACCATTCCACAGAGATAGTGCTGCCTAGGCACCTACCTAGAGAGCCACCCCCACTACTAGCCAAGACAAGGCACCTTCCACAGCCTGGTGATAGCCATGGAGGGCCTGGATCATGCCCTCCTTGCTTGTCTTACCTTCTGTCCCCACATGGTTCCTCAGAAATGGGTGTAGGAGCTCCCAAATTTGTGATAAAGAAAAGGAGAGGAACTGCTACACCATGACTCCTGCCTTTGCCCAATATTTCAGGTTGGTACGGAATGCAAGGAAGTGCCCCAGGTGGGACACAGCCCACATTAAAGTTGACCCCATGTGGTTCTGCAACTGAGTGGATGGACTGATGGATCACAACAGTCCAGCAGTTGTGCCTGCACTGCGAGGGCCTGGGTTGGGGTGGGAGGGGGTGTCACATATCTGGTATGCACCTGGGAAAAAGAATTAAAGTAAGCATGACCCCTGACCTCGCTGCCATTGTGCCAGTTGTTGATGAACATGGGCTTAACCCATGAAGATAGGGTTTCTGCCACTGCCAATGTACAAACCTTCTAGCTCCTCTATTGGTCTTTCCTCATGCTTCCTGTGGTTTCTCCTAATACTTCTTGCAGTAGGACTCAGGCAGCTTTGGCATACAAGATGCAACTGAACATGCTATGACAGCTGTATCTCCTGTGCCCGTCCTGCAAGCTCCTGTGCCATCAGCTCTTCTTGGAAGCAGTGTCCAGATAGTAATGCAGTGCATTGAGACTCTAGCCCGTCACTGCCCTCAGCAGTACAGCCTTGCCAACTGCTCTTGATAAAGGTCTCTAAATGCAACTGTTGGCCAAAGGAACTATTGAACATATCCCACTTCTCTCTTGCCTTCAGCTCCAGCTTGTGTGATGGTCACCTCCCCCAGATAGCAACTCTGCTTTGGTGCATGCTCTACCTCCTCCTGTGCAAGTCTGCTGCTGGAGGGCAGAGTTTTGCATGTGTACATGTACACACACACACACACACACAGAGCAGAGATGAAGAAGTTATTTTTCCCAGGTGGTCTTAAATGCAGTTTTCCTGATTTGGGAGAAAAACAGTAAACCTGAATAATCACTCAATCAGACAGTTCTAGTCTCCTGACTTTTAATAAGATGCCAGGCACGGTCTGAGCCTTTCAGAAGCTAACTGTCAAGCAGGAAATTTCAAGTATTTTCTCATTGCTTCCCATCTCCACGTGGTGGCTGTTGGCAGAGGTGACAAAGGACTGATGGACAGAGACTGCAGAGGATGGGTCTGTCCTTGTTCCTGTGAAGACAACAAAGGACAAAAAAAATCTGTGTTCCTGAAGTATTAAAACTAACCATTGGGAAT